AAGCCGGATCCAATTCGAAGATTAAGGAACAACGCAATCATCATTAACTGAAATAGATAATTAGATAATTTTAGCTTATACCGTCCATTATATGTAAAACGTGCACGCGAAAACGTATTCTGCGCTTGCGCACACGCATATGCGCAGTCGTAAAAAGTCTTACGCGCACGCGTAAACGCCTATGAGCATGCGCAGAAAGTTTTTAGCTTTGAGGTCCGGATTATGGGTGTCGGAATTAACGACTTTTGACTGTATATGAAAAATTATGATAACCCTAAATACTGAGCTGAAAACATACTGCCATTTTTGTCCATGTAACTTTAATGAATTTGGTAGGTATCACAGCTTTGATGGCGGGAGGGATAAATTGCATATTTTTCTTAAAGTTACTTATGTGTTAGGAAAGCACTTAAAATATTTTTAAAAAAGCCAAAATTTGATAGTTAAAACTGATGCTTTTAATGTTACATGCAAGTCTTGACATTTTTTCATATGTCAGCTCTGCATAATTATAAACTCTCCCCCCCCCAAATAAACTCTTGTTGTTTCCTTTGCAAAGGAACCACATGTAAATTTAGACTTCTTGCATGTTTCTTAAAATGGGCAATGATCAAAATCACCATGGTCTAAAAATACTTTTTTTTTTTGCCTCATTTCGTAAATTAGAACTATAGGGATGTGTAATTGCATGAATTCAGACCAAACCAGATTTCATTATAGCTTTTATAACATTTTTAGAATTTGTCTCGTTGTAAAAAATCTAATGTTGCTTAGATTATGGACTATTATAATTTAGTTATCAAATTTTGTAAATCTCACAATATATATAAGCTGTATATGAATAACCTTCACTGAGTATTATTACTTTTTATTAACAGTATGTTGACATAACAGTCGACTTTATTTTAAATTTTATGCAAATTTTCTACATTACTTAAACATTTAATCTAACAGAAATCTGAATTTTTTGTAATAAAAACTCTATAATAAAAGTAAGAGTACAATTTATATAAAAAATTTTGGTTGATCTTTACAATATGGTAACTGGTAGTTTGGCGACATTTTGGAGGCGATAAAGGTTACTACCTGGCACTTTGGTAATAATGTGAGCAGTACTCAGTTCCGATTACGCATTATTTTGTGTGAGGGAAATGAGAGATCATGGGATATGTCATGTGATATTAATGGACGAATTACGGTTCTTTAATCGGAAAATAACCTGGAAATTTTGTATTTGGTTTTATTCTGTGTTGTGTGAAACAGTGTTCCTGAATTTTTGGATCCCATGGCCGTAACTAAAGTGAATTCCAAATGGGTATTTATGTATGTGCTCATTTATATTTTAAGTAGTTTTTTGAATTTAATTATATTTAATTAAATGATAGTTATTTTGTGAATTTTATGTTTGTAGGAATTTGGTATACGTTTTAGTTGAAGTAAACGTGCATGGAAATTATTTAAATATGTGACACTAAGTATTTGTAATGGTTGCGGTATGAACTCGTTGGTGACGTGTATAATGCAATAGATGATTTAGAGGTAAAAGTTTTTGGATATTGTATTTTTCGCGATCAGGTAATTTCATATATGTTCTTTTTACCGGGTTTAAAGATTGAGAAAATTATCATGTATTTTCGTGAAATTTTTCTAATTTATGAGAAAAATGCAGTGTACATGGATATAGTGAAGAGTGTGCGCAATGCCATTTTTGTGCAATTCTGGGATGTTTTTTTAAGTAAAAATAAGTCGGCTTGTACATGGTTTAGTGATATTTTAATTAAATGTAGTTATTTTGTGAATTTTATGTTTGTAGGAATTTGGGTATACGTTTAAGTTGAAGTAAACGTGCATGGAAATAATTTAAATATTTGATACTAAGTATTTGTAATGCTTGCGGTATGAATTCATTGGTGACGTGTATAATGTAATAGATGATTTAGAGGTAAAAGTTTTTGGATATTTTATTTATTTTATATGTGGAAATGTTCATATTTGTAAAGGGTAAATACTTTTTCGCGATCAGGTAATTTCATATATGTTCTTTTTACCGGGTTTAAAGATTGAGAAAATTGTCATGTATTTTCATGAAATTTTTCTAATTTATGAGAAAAATGCAGTGTACATGGATAGAGTGAAGAGTGTGCGCAATGCCATTTTTGTGTAATTCTGGGATGTTTTTTTAAGTAAAAATAAGTCGGCTTGTACATGGTTTAGTGATATTTAATTAAATGATAGTTATTTTGTGAATTTTATGTTTGTAGGAATTTGGTATACGTTAAGTTGAAAGTAAACGTGCATGGAAATAATTTAAATATTTGATACTAAGTATTTGTAATGCTTGCGGTATGAATTCATTGGTGACGTGTATAATGTAATAGATGATTTAGAGGTAAAAGTTTTGGATATTTTTATTTATTTTATATGTGGAAATGTTCATATTTGTAAAGGGTAAATACTTTTTCGCGATCAGGTAATTTCATATATGTTCTTTTTACCGGGTTTAAAGATTGAGAAATTGTCATGTATTTTCGTGAAATTTTTCTAATTTATGAGAAAAAATGCAGTGTACATGGATATAGTGAAGAGTGTGCACAATGCCATTTTTGTGCAATTCTGGGATGTTTTTTAAGTAAAAATAAGTCGGCTTGTACATGGTTTAGTGATATTTTAATTAAATGATAGTTATTTGTGAATTTTATGTTTGTAGGAATTTGGTATACGTTTAAGTTGAAGTAAAACGTGCATGGAAATAATTTAAATATTTGATACTAAGTATTTGTAATGCTTGCGGTATGAATTCATTGGTGACGTTGTATAATGTAATAGATGATTTAGAGGTAAAGTTTTTGGATATTTTATTTATTTTATATGTGGAAATGTTCATATTTGGAAAGGGTAAATACTTTTTCGCGATCAGGTAATTTCTTATATGTTCTTTTTACCAGGTTTAAAGATTGAGAAAATTGTCATGTATTTTCATGAAATTTTTCTAATTTATGAGAAAAAAGCAGTGTACATGGATATAGTGAAGAGTGTGCGCAATGCCATTTTTGTGCAATTCTGGGATGTTTTTTTAAGTAAAAATAAGTCGGCGTGTACATGGTTTATGTGTATGTGTTATTTTGAAAAACGCATAAGGAGTATGGTATTGTGCACTTTTTCCCAATTTTGCAGTGAATATTTGTCATGATTAAGCAGTTTTGTTAGATAAAATTTGTAGCATAAGTGTAATTCGGCTAGTAGATTGTTGGAAGAAGTGTTCAGTAGATAAAAAGAAAAGAAATATGTTTTTACTTCGTGAACACAAAATGGCGGCAGGAAAAAGTAGAGGGTTGCTGTAGGAGAGTTGGTCGCCAAATTTTCGCCAAGCTACCATAATGTAAAGATCAACCAAAATTTTGACTATATGGCAAGAACTTACTGATTTCAATGTCTTTAAATGTAATTATTATAAAGTTTCGATATATTTTTATTAAGATATACTCTTATTCTGTTATAAAGTTTGGATGTAGAGAACAGTAAGCACACTTTGTGCTTACAACATTCTTTTAAAAACAGCATAAAGCAGTTATATTGCCACAGTAGTTAAATAAACTTGTAGCCAAAGGCTATACAAATCAATTTAATGCAAAGTTGGTTCAAAACTTGACCAGCATGGAATTCAATTATCAGCAATTATAATGCAAGACTGAAGACTACAAATCTTATCTTATTTAGCAACCTAGTAATGTGGCCTCGAAATGCAAAACACGGTTTGTTTTATAAACTAAAATCTTTATTTGGATTCTGGTGGGAACACAGATGGGGAAATTAACAGTAAAGATCCCAAACATAAAACAACTCTGGCTACATAATAAAGGAACATTACATTATACTTTGTTCTCTGATTAATTATTCACTACATGAAATAGTGTAATGCGTTTTTGTTTGCATCATATACGAATTATTAATTTTATTTAAATGCTGTCCAAAAGTGAACAGGATTTTGCAAACATATTGACCATATTCTTCAACCTACAGATGCAACACTTCTTCACTTCAGAAATAAGATTTAGAATTAAGAAAATAAGAAGAAAGAACAGTATTTATGAATAGAAAATAAATATATGTGTAGGCTAGCAGAAAAAGGATGCCTTCACAAAGGACTTTTTAAGAGAAACTGGCTCAGATTCACATTACATGTAAGGGAAACCACAAAAGCTCCCATACAGCCAGTCTGAACTACCAGCGTTCAGTGGCTTATCACTCCACAATTAGAGGATTCCAACAATTGTTTGAATCTTTCACAGAAATCATCAGTTATGATAACTGTTGTTGTGTATTATTACCATTGGTAAAAATTTACTCATTAATGACAATTTAATTTTAGCTTTTAAATTATAATCATAAATTATTTGTAATAAATTGAGTGATTAAAAAATACACACTTCTTAATATTTTTACGACTTACAAAATTTAATTCATAAAAAGTATTTCCGACACTGGTACAAAATTTACTCATTTAATTTGATTTCCTTCAATTTGAAATATTTTTTATTTCCTTTTAATAACAGAATCTAAGAAACTAAAGTAACATACTAGTTTGAAATGCACTTAACCTTTTGTAAATTTCATTACTCATAACATAAAAATTAACCTTTTGTAAATTTAAAATATTAGCTAAACACTAATATAATATAACAAACAAACTACTTAAAATATTAATATTATATTTTGTAATTTAAAATATTAGCCGGCTCTAGTGTAGAATTGGGTGCCCCTTCGATTAGCGACAATTTTTTTCAAATTTCGGCAATGAAACCTCACTTCTGGTTACCATGATAGATTTAACTTTGTTTTAGCTGCCTGATTTTATTTAAATGAAAATAGATTGATGTGTACATGGACAATTTTAAGCCAGTGCGCAATGCCTAGTTTGTGCAATTCTAGGATGTTTTTTTAAGTGAAAACAGATCGATGTGTAAATGAACACAGAGTTTGTGTAATTCTTTGATTTCTTATTTTGATTTTGTATAGCGGCCATCTTGAATTGTGCCTTCCTGGCACCGATCTTAGCGTCAAAAAAGAATCGCCAAAAAACAAGGGGCACCCAATTGTAAACTTTTACCTATTAACCTTTTGTAAATATCATTACTCATAACACAATTACTGCCATAAATTCATTTACGGCAGCGTTTCCGACATTTTTTCCCGATCTTCAAAGCCGGGTCTACCTTGGCGACAGAAGTTTGTCGCCAAATCAAAAAATTGCCAAAAGGACCAATACTAAAGCTCTTCCAACAAAATAAATATGTTGCATTAAAAAACAACCTTGCTTTTTTTGGGGGAGGGGCAGTTAAATTTTCTCAGCAGTTTTTGTTTCAATTTCTTCTTTGGGTTTGACATTAGATTCTGGCTTCATAGCAGGAAAGCACAGAACTTCTTTTATATTGTTAGTGTCTGTAAGTAACATAACAAATCTATCAATACCCATTCCCCACCCACCTGTTGGAGGAAGTCCATATTCAAGGGCAGTGCAGAAGTTTTCATCAATTAGTTGTGCTTCATCATCTCCAGCAGCTTTGTCTTGTGCTTGCAGCTCAAATCTTTTACGTTGGACAACCGGATCATTTAATTCTGTGTAAGCATTAACAACCTCGGTCTTCATGACAAACATTTCAAACCTCTCAGTAAGGCCAGGGATTGATCTATGCCACTTTGACAGTGGGCTCATGATTTCTGGATGATCACAAAGAAAGGTAGGATTGACAAAATGTTCTTCAAGGAAATGTCCAACTAATTTATCCAATAGCCTAGCAGTAGTACGTGGTGGGGGACATTCAACTTCATGTTTCACACACAAATCTGACAACCTTTTATTAGATTCAGGTAAATGAAGATCTTCTGGTTTAGGTAATTTTTCTCCTATGGCTTCTTCCAGACCAGATAACATACTTACTCTTTTAAATGGTGGTGTAAAATCTATTTCATATTCTTCACCTTCAGGTCCATCTGGATGATATGTTATTTTATATGATCCTTTTAAAGACTTTACCATATTTGATATTAAAGACTCAGTTATATGCATCAAATCATTGTAATCTGCATATGCCATGTAAAACTCACAAGTTGTAAATTCAGGATTATGGGTCAAATCAATACCTTCATTTCTGAAAAGGCGACCTATCTCAAACACCCTGTCCAGACCACCTACAACAAGCATTTTCAAATATAATTCAGGTGCAACACGCATATATAAGTCCATGTCAAGTTCATTGTGATGAGTAATGAATGGTTTTGCTGTTGCACCACCTGGTATCATATTCATCATTGGTGTCTCAACTTCAAGAAATCCAAGCTGAGTAAAAAAATTACGAATATAATTTGTAACCTTAGCACGGAATATGAATCTCTGTCGAACAAAATCATTTAAGATCAAGTCTAAATATCTCTGCCTAAATCGGGTTTCTTTATCTTTCAAACCATAATGAAGATGAGGCAACATGTGAAGGCACGGTGCTAAAATTTGAAGTGATGTAGGTATAATGCTGAGTTCACCTTTTTTCGTTTTTCCTGGGTGGCCGATGCATCCAATAACATCTCCTCTTCGTATCCTTCCATTGATTTTTAAAAATTCTTCTTCGGAGGTGTAATGATTAGAATGAGCCATAACTTGGATTTTAACCCCTTCACCTCGGAGATCGTAAAATAAGAGTTTGGCTCCAGATTCTCTTTTTGCATGAACTCGACCGGCAACACTAACAGTAACATCTTTCAAAATTTCGCCCGCATCTAAACTATTATACTGCTCTATAAATTCAGTGAGTGAAATAGATACATGAAATTTATGAGGGTACGGTGATTCCCCAACTGCTTTTAACTGCTCCACAGCTTGCGATCTGATCCTGAAGTATTCGGCGGCATCTGTCGGATCTTCTTGTTTTTCAACTTTCTCTTTCGTTTCCGAAGCTTTCAAAAGTTGCTGTTTCTCTTTCTCAGCTTTCTCCTTCGCCTTTTGTTCTGCTTTCAATTGCCTTTTTAATTCATTTTTCGAAATTGACATTTTTAAAGATGACTGTGCACTAACACTAGTGACACGAGTATAATTTAACAGCAATTTCGACCGGAAAAGCACACGGCATGCCATGAAAGAATCATAGTTGTAGTTTATAACAGTATTCGGCCACGTTATTATTAAGCCAGCTGCGCACCGTAAAAAGAAAAAAAAAAGACAGATTAACAACAAAAATTTCAAAGAAATGTTTAAAGCTGAGGAATGAGTATGCATAATAAATTTTTATCAGCTTGCTTAATGTCATCTATGTGTTCTGCTACTTTAAGCCCATTTTATTATAAATTATTTAGAAACATCATGATTTTCCCCCTAAAATATAAAAGGAAACTACTCGAATACAAATACTGTATATTTAGGATATTGCCTGGATTTTTTTTTTTTTTAACCTATAGTTTAATTGTAATTTAACTTCAACTTCTTTTGTTGCGATGGATACCAAACTCGAAACCAAACTTTGTCACATGTGGTATTAGTAATCGTATTCAGCTTGCCAAGAACGTAAATAGTGTAGTAAATTATGGAAATAAAAGAGACTGCTGAAAACGACCTATTCGAACAGCTAACTGAATTATGTAGAAAACTAGCCTTTAGGGAAAAGAAGGATATTATTTTGCGCCGTAATGTATTGAAAGAAATAGAAAATATTATAAAGAAGGAAACGATTTCGTTTCAAGAAGATCAGAATGCATTTGAAAACATATTAAAATATATTGTTTCTTCCGTGAGTGATGACAACGAGAGGTGCCGTGAAATATCTGTTAACATTTTAAATGTAATAATTGATCATTCATGTTTATCTGAAAATTTGTTTTCCCTGATTATCGGTGCACTGGCCGCGCGTTTAGGAAAGACAGATGAAAGAGAACCTTCGGAAGAAGTTAGACTATTGGAAGTTCAGTTATTGCATACTCTTATAAAGAAATATGAAGGAGATATTTTGAAGTATTTAAATGATTTAATTAAAATTTTGTCATCTTGTATCGTTGACGATTGTCCTGAAATAAAGAGAAAAAGTTGTGAATGTACTTCTCTTTTAGCTTGTAAACAAAAAACACATTTTCATATGGTATCTTCTAGTCTGTTAAAACCTCTTTTACAAACTATATCTCACCAGCATTTTAAAACAAGGACATTGTGCATTTATGCAGTTGGTAAGATTTTATTGTTCTTTCTTCCTATCTTATTAGCCAAATTTAATCAGCAGAAGAAAAGGGAATTGCCTTGTCTTTTGACTCTCTTTCCCACTCCTTCATGCATATGTGTTTGCAACTGCAAAATCAGAGAAAAAAATAATTGATTGTTAAAAAAAGTATTTTGCTGTTTAGCTCTTATTCTAATGTATTTTTGTAACTTAATGTTAAATTAAAACTCTTTCTGGTAGTCTTCATTTTAAATACAGTGTAAATGGCATTAAAGATGTTAGCAGATAAAATTAAACTAGACTCACAGATCTTTAGATTTTGGGGATGTCCTCATAAACAAGGCAGCAGCTTGGCTGCTAGCTACATTTTTCTGCTTATGTACTTTATTTTTCTAATATTTGAAAAATATATTACATCTTTTCTCTTCATTAGCTAATCATATGTGCACTAATCAGATAATGTCTTGTTCATTTGACAAGGGAGTTAACAGACTGTAAAATCAGATTCTACCATTATGATATTTTCTTGTTGCCAAAGTTTTACAGGTTGATGATATTCCAACAGGATTAATTACTGAGGCCAATTCTCAATTAATAAATAAATAGTCATTTAACTCTCAGTGATCAATGAGTTGTTTCTCAAACTTAAACTCATTATAGTGGACTGGAATCAAAGTTATTCTGTTCCCCCTTTTGTTTTAACATTAAGTTACAAAGTTATTCTGTTCCTCCAATGTGCTCATACAAATATGACTGAACTTTTAAAGTTACCTGTTATTTTTTATTATTATTATTTTTAGATTCTTCCTGAGAAAACTTCTTGCAATGAACTCAGAGACATGGCTAGGATTTTTAGTGCATAAGGGCACCTGAAGATTTGGCACCTTCTCCCATTTGCCAAAATATAGTGGCTTATGGAAATAAAATTATATGGATACTTTACCCAAGAACATATGTCCCACTTTATCCCTCTCTATCTAAGCCATTAACTGAGCTTTAGTGCCATATCAAAATTTCATATAAAGCATTAAACACAGTGTCTTTTTTCTCTTCCTTCCCCTTCTGGTTGCTTTCTGATAGTTTAAACAAAAACAAAAAAAAAGTATTCAAATCTCAAAAGATAACATAGGTATCAGTATTTCTTTTGTGATGAATGCTTTGGTAAAAATCTATAAATATTAAAACATAATTTTATGATCTGTGCATAGAATTTACACATTCTTCTTTTTTATGCTTATATTTTTAAATTGGGTATTATTTTATTCTTAGATACTTTACTTTATATTTAATGTTATATATAATTTACTTTATACCTAGATGTCATTTATTTTTAGAAATTTGTGATTTCATTAGTAGTTTTTCCCTAAAAATTTTCAAATGGAATCTGAGTATTATGCAAAAATATGTTAGCTATATAGACTCGTGAACAATAAGATGCGTTATTCTACATAATTCGCATTATGTGATAATACTTTGGGACAAAAAATACAGCATAAAAACACATACACATGAAGCATTTATTGATCCATTTGCATAATAATTGTTTCTTTGTGACATCTATTGGAGAATAATGCAGTATTTTGTATTAAATCTCTCATTTATGTTACTGAAGACTATTCTAGACAACATGCAACTTCAAATTAAGTAAAAAAATAAATAACTTTTCCAGTTTAATTGGAAGAATACTTCTACTGGCATGTTAAGCACTATGTTTTATGTTTAATGTGGGGTTGAATGATAAGGTTAATAAGTTTTAAATTTAATTTAGGTTGTAATAGCATTTAAACTGAATTATTTCTCTTCTGTCATAGGTTCTGTAATTAGTTTTGGAAGTGCTCAAGATTTTGAAAATGCTGTTACTCATTTGGCGCAGAGACTATTTGATCAGTCTCCTATTGTACGAATGGCTGCCACAGAAGTCATTGGAGATTGGCTTTTGACATTTAAAGACCGATATTCTTTTTTTCATTATTTGATTCCTCTAATGTTGTCTGCCCTTCATGATGATGTGCCAGACATAAGGTATATTATCCACCTGAATGGCATGGCTTTTTGAATCTGCTTATGATGACCTGTATTTAAACAGCATTTACTAGCTAAATTTGAGTAATTACTGGGGAAAATGCAGAATCACCCACTTCTTGGCACGTTTTTAAGAATTGCACAAACTCGGTATCCAAGTACACATCGACCTATTTTCACTGAAAAATATCAGAATTGCACAAACTCGGCATTGTGCACTCCCTTGACTTTGTCCATGCACATGTCGATCTATTTTCACTTAAAAAGTTAAATGAAATTGACAAAAATCCAATTCTTCTTAATAAACGTGCCAAACAACGTTAAAAACGTTAAAATGCGCCAAACAAAACGTGCCAAATAAGTGGGCAATTCTGCACTTCATCCTAATTACTTACCTTAGTCCCTGTTTTCATAAACTTCCATTCATTGAGATAACACCTACATTATTAAAGAAAATTTTAAAGTGATAAGCTAATACATACTAAATGATATATTATCATAATTTAAGTACATTATTATATTTAACTTTTATTGCATAGATAAGTTATCTGTGAAGAGTACCATGATACTGTCTCAGGTTGTTTTTTTTTTTTTTTTTTTTTTTTAATGTATATATATATAGATCATACACATTCTGAAATGGTGCCACTAGTGGCCGAGTAATTAAAAACCTCACAATACTGGGAGTTCAATTTGGATTTGAACTCAGATAAATGGGCTGGCTAATGGTTAGTTTTAATGATTTTTCCCATGTGTTACATAAATATGATCTAGTTACCTTAGAAATTCCTCCACAAAGGCATCTCTTCCCTTAGGCAGATTGCTCTCATGAGCTTTGCCCTATTCAAATAACGTAATCTAATCCTTCTGAAATGAACAAAAGCATAAAAGCCCCCCCCATTTCAACAATATAAATGGATCCTGTGTCAAATTAAATAGTCTGAGTGCTTGCTTAAAAGATTTTAAACCAGTTTATGAAAAAAAAAAAAAACAAATACTATCACTATATGAGAGAAAATACATTTTTATAACAAGACATATCTTGGCCAGAATTATAAAGAAAGACCTGCTAACAGAATTAGCTGTGGACATTAATGTACTTTTAATTCATATGTTTAAAAGTTTTCTTAAGTTTCCCCCCCGCCTTCCCTTGTTTGAAAGTTACTTTGACATCTAAAGTGCTTGTATATTTGATTTCTAAAATGAGCTGAATAAAATTAAAATTTTGTAACATAGGTAATATATCCTGATTATAAGACTGTGTGATAGTCATTTTTCTTTCCTTTTTTGTGTATTTTGAAGCAGCATGGTATGTTCTATGCTTCTTGTTTGAAAAAGATTTGCACCAATCATATTTTTAAAGTGAATGTACTTTAAATTTATATAATTTACTAGTGCCATACATTTAGAAATAATAATGCATAAATTCCTTATAATTCCTATTTTATTATATTGAGTGTTAATGTCAAAATTTACTGACCATTTATCAAGTTATACTGAAAGTTGTAGTTTTGTCAAAAGTTTGATTTCTTGCAATGAAATGAGGTGATTGTTAATGTAGTTTCCCACTTTTCCCCATAAAAAGTCAAATTTTTATAGCTCGTATTTTCCCATCTAAATATGAGCTAGTTTCTTGTCTAAAATCCTCTTTAAGTCATATCTCACTTAGATATCAATCATGTAATTTGCTAAAATAAATAAAAAATGACTATGTTCACTCTCCCTGCTTTGAGTAGATATTTTTGAGTAAGCATGTGTCAGGCCTTTTAAAAAATTCTTAAGCAGCTCATATAATCCTAGTCAGGTATATGTTTTATCTGCTTTGCTAAATTAAGTTATGCATATTTTAATTTACTTAATTAAGCTACTTTAAATACTTAAAAAGTGCCTAGATTTTTGGAGGTCAAACCTTTGTCAGATTGCCAGGGCCCCCGGCTTAGCCTAGTTGGGTCCCAGGGTGAAGATTTCTTTGGGGGCGCCCTCTGCTTCACTACTTCAGTAATGAAGAACTGGATTTTATGGAGGCATTTAAATTTGTATAATAATAAACTTTCTATTCAATTTTGGGGCCCGGGACAACTACCCCGTATGCCCCTGCGTTAGTCAGGCTCTGCATGTTGCAAAATATTTTAAATGCTGTGTAACTTCAGTGCATAAACTGACTAGGCATAAAACTGTCAGTTCTTTACAAAAAATCATGTATCCTTAATCTGATTTTTTTATGTGTTTTGCTGAATTAAGTTACTCATATTTCAATTAACTTCAAAATAAATTAATTAAAATGAGTAATGTAACTAAATGTAATAGAATGTTTAATTTCAAAAAGGACTTAGTTTTATGTCTGAATTTAGAGCCAAACTTACATTAGACTGCAATATATGCTGTGAAACTTCAGACAAACAAATGCTGTGCAGTGGCATAACTAGAACTCTTGGACCCCCATACAAAAAATTTTCCTGGGCCTCCCAATAAATTTACTGTGCTTTAAAAAAAATTAAAAGGGAAGAAAAAAAGAAAGAAAGAAAGAAAGAAAGAAACGTTTAAAAGAAAAAAAAAAAAAGTTATAAGGTATTTTTCTTGCCTTCATAGCGTGCCTTTGTGGTGTAGTGGTCTGCATGCTGGACGCGTATTCCAGAGGTCCATGGTTCGATTCCCAGCGAAAGCGTTACTCATTTTTCACGTCTCCTGCTTCCAAAAAATTAGCTAATGGCTCTACAAAGTATTCCAGGTTAAATAATATCAGAGCTGATTTTAATCCCAAAACAATAACTTGTAGGGGGGAAAAAATGGAGAAATCACCAGAGACATGGAGGAGGTTTTGTTTTGTTGATGTAAGTATTTTAAGGGTCTGCTTCTAGGTAGAGATAGAGGAGATAACTACTTATGACATACTACCCACTATGAGTTGTGTAGGTGAGGTTAGGAAGCATAATCCACCAACTGTATATGATGTTGAACTGGTAATCAAAAAGTTAAATAATAATAAATCAGCTGGACTGGATTTCATCAAGGTGGAGCTTTTAAATATCAATGAAATTAATTTAAACAAAGCAGTCCATTATCCATTATTAAAAGTTAAATCCATTATTAAAAAGAAAAATTGCACTAATATATAGTGTTCTGTGATTCACTCAGTTTATGAACATGACTTATGCAGTAATATGCAAATAATAAATATGAACTTTTATAATGTAAATGATACATTTGTTAAATATAAAACATATTTATCATAAATTTCATAAAGAAAACTACTTGAACATACAATTTTTGTAGAAAATGTGCTTAGAAAGTTTTTTCTCCTTTCTCTTTTCAAAACATTTTTGATACACTAAACTAATTGAATACATGATTTTATAAAAAAAAAAAAAAAAAAAAAATATATGAATGATAAATTTTTTTCTACTGATTTCTTTTAATTTTTTTGGTCCATACTGCTCTTCTTCTCTAATGTTTTTTCATAATTAAGTGTAATTATAACACTAGTAGCCAAAATTCGTCATTTATTAAAATTTTCTCCTTCTAACCTTCATTTTCACAAAGTTATTTATCAATACCTGGATGTTTATTTTCTCAGCCATGCAAATTTCAGTGCTCAGTAGTGATGGGTTTAGCAACTGATCTTGTCTTGTGTTTCTCAAATATTGTTTACTTATAGTTATGCTTTATTAGTTTCAGTTTTGAAAATGATCTCTCACTCGTAGCTATGGTTACAGGTAATGATTAATACAATATAAATGAATTGCATACTTCTGAATAACTGCTTGCCATGTCATAATATTTCGCCATCAATAATTTAGCTAAATCCTTAATGGATTTCAGTTCTGAAAATATTTATAAATAATAGCTGTTGTACTTCTAGTGCATTAGTAAAGTCTTCTTTATATGTTTTCTGTATTTTTGAAATGTTATTGATAATTTTTGCATTTTTTGCTTTCAGTTTTTTAATGCTGGCAGAGTTTTAGGTTCCAAAAAGGAAAATGTTATTGTGATTTTTGTTATTCCAGTTGTTCTATATTCTAAGAGTATTTAAAATATCAATAGCAGCATTAAAAAAACTGTTACTTTAAAAGATATTTTGGAATTTTCAAACCTGCTATCCTCACATAACTCATCAAAAAATGTTTTGTCTTTATTCTTTTTCATTTAGTTATTTATTATTATTATTATTATTATTATTTTTCTTCATTTTCAAATTTAGTTTCTGTGCCCCATTTATTTGCAATAAACTAAATTTCTTGAATAATATCTTGCTTGATTCTCATATCTTGCATACTGATAGATGCCTTTTAGATGTTGATGAGCGTCATTCAAGTCGATTGATTTCCATTGTAATACTTGAGTAACATTAGTAAAACGTTTTCCATAACAATTATTAAAAATAAAAATTCAAAAGATTCAATTTTTTTAACCCATTTGCAACATCTTTGTCTTGCACTTTCTTTGAAGTTAATATAATTTAATTTAATGTTTTCAGGATGTCAAAGTATCTCATTTTAATTGCTGTCAAAGAAATGATCGTCCAGCCCACCTTATAGGATTAAAATTTTGACAGTAATATCAGTCAGAAAGCAAACTCCATCTTTTTAAACATTTCTCTGAAATGCATGTAACTATTTTGAAGAATTTCAAAATATTTACGTAGCTCTCTTACACCTTGCACTTCATCACTATATATGCCCACCTCCAGAAATTTAGAACTTGTTTTCACAATAGGAAAGCAACAGCCTGGCCATGATTATCACTGATAACTTGAAAGCTGTCTTTTAGAGGGGTATCAGAACGAAAGCATACAGCTTTTTTGTTTTGCTTTCAGTTGAAGTTCCGTTGTGTGCAATGAATAGAAGCAGTTTCATCTGCTTCTAAGGGCCTCCTATCTGCATTATATACAAAGAGGACCCTTAAAAACTTTAAAAAGACAGATTTTATTATATATAATCTATGTTTTAAGTCTTTTTAACAGAAAATTTATATTAAAATTCTTTTTTTCTTTTTTTTTTTTTTTTTTTTTTTTTTTTTTTTTTTTTTTTTTTCCCCCTCTCAGGAGAGATAATATCTCTCCTGATAAAAGAAAAAATTTTTTTCAATGTCTTAAGAGAAATATTTTTCAGATCGACCTAAGCATCGATATATGTATGTGTATACATATCCTCTTTACTGTGATTGACTTATTAGAGTAGCATAAATTAAAAATGGATTAGATAAGAGACATACTATCTCTCCTGATAAAAGAAAGAACTTTTTCAACATCTTAAGAGAAATATTTTTCAAATTGACCTATGCATTGATATATGGATGTGTATATATATCCTCTTTACTGTGATTGACTTATTAGAGTAGCGTAAATTAAAAATGGATTAGATAAGAGACATATTGCTGCATGGGCGATATCTTATGTGTTGCTTGTAGGAGGTATTGCTAATAGAAGCTTCATTAGAGAAAAAATTGTTATTATACAAATACTTGCTTATATATTGCATATTCAGTATTTCATTCATTTTAGCTTATTTTTTAGATTTTTCAAGGCTGTGAAATTTGATATAAATCAGATATAAGGTTGTACATATATAGACAATATTATTATTTTATTACATTTTTACAAATTTTTATTTTATATTTTTTCAATATTTTGTGGCTGCAGATTGAAAATTTCATAGGCTAAAGACCAAAAAACGGTAAACATTAAAAATTGTTAAAATTTATCAAACTTGACTATGTAGTTAAAAATAAAAGTGATATAACCAGGCTAATAATGTCCATTTCTCATAGAGATAGAAGTGAGCGTATCATAGCTACAGTGAGTGTGTCTTAGGTAAAAACTTAATTTTAATACAATTATTTCTAGAAAAAGTAGTTTATTCTGTAATTTGTTGATGTCATTTAACTGAAGTGCATATATTAGCGTAATATAATACAAGTGTGCATTACATAGGTAAATTAGTCATGAAGTACCATGATACACTATCGATATTTTTTGCTTATCTCATATACATTCTGAAATGAACCAAAACATAAAATACTATTTGATAGTTGTATTAAAAGACAAATTACCCCTTCCGACATACACACACACACACACACATCTTTCTCTTTTCAACAATATTAATGGATTGGATGTGATATCAAACCATATAGTTTAAACACTTGTCTGTTTAGAAGGTTTTAAACCAATTTATAAAGGGAAAGAAATATTAATCACTGTTTGAAAGATTTTTTTTTTTTTTTTTTTTTTTTTTTGTTAGAGGCACATCTAGGTCAGATTTATAATAAAATAATTCACTGTAAGTGTCATTACGCTTTTAATGCATGTATTTAAGAGCTGAATATGTTTTAGTTTCCTACCTAGTTTCTGTATTACAAGTGTCTATGTATTTGTTTTTTTAATCATTAACAGAAATAAATTTTATAAATAGTTTAATTGAAATGTATTATATTAATAAGTCTTCTCTTTTGGAAATATATTTTTCCTAATTCTAGGATAAAAGCTTCTGATTTATGGAAAAAATGTGGCGAACAATATCTAAGTGAAAATGAAAATGATTATAAAGATCTCATAGATTTTCCAAGACCAGAACCTGAGAACTATCCAAATTCAGGTTGACACTATATCCAACTACTCAACTTCACTTTGTATTAAAACCATCTAAAATTTCTCATTTTATTTGCTTCTTAAATATATTTTTATAGTAGTAAAATTTTTATAAACTATATATGATATTAAAAAATCAATTATTCTAAAATTTATTCGTGTCATGAATATGAAATACTTCCGAGGTAATTATTTTTATTGTTATTCTTATTAGGAAACCGGCCTTTAGTGGGATGCCGTATTTTAGTTCAAAGGAATCTTCCTAAAATTCTTCCTGCATTGTTGAATGATCTTGCAGATTGGGTTGCAGAAACTCGAATCAAATCTTCAAAAGTTTTGTATTCCCTCATTTTACATTCTGAGGACAAAGCAACAATGCATTTGTCATCTATTATTGAAGGTATTATTTCCATTGCAAAGGATGAAGTTAAAGAAGCAGCTGAACAAGTATGCTTTAGTTACATTTTTATACTCTCATATACGCCCTCGCTTGGCAACAAATTTCTCACCAAATATTTTTGATTACGTTTTGAACCTAAAATATCTCCAAAAACGCGGTTTTCGCACAACCACATTTTGGACACACAATTTAAGCTAAAAATCCGAAACAAAAACAAAAAATTAGATAGCAAAAACATTAATTTTCTAACCAAAAATATTTGACAAGAATCCATGTACACAATGATATGTTTTAACTTAAAAAAACATCACAGAATTGTGCAATCGATGCAGCGAAGGAATCTACGAACTACGAAAATGTGGCTTAAATAAATTAACATAACAACAATACAGTTCAAGGAATACCATGTTAGAGCGTTCTGTTTAAACTTAAAAAAAATCTACGAATTGCACAATCTAGGCAGCGAAGGAATATACAAACTATGCACACTTCGCCTTTAATAAATTAACATAACAACAATAAATTTCAAAGAATACCATGTACACAGCATTCTGTTTAAACTTTAAAAAAAAAAATCTACAAATTGTGCAATCTAGGAAGCGAAGGAATCTATGAACTACGCATACCTCGCTTTAAAAAATTAACAGCAATAAATTTCAAGAATTAACATAACAACAATAAATTTCAAGAATACCATGTACACAGCATTCTGTTTAAACTTTAAAAAAACATCTACAAATTGCACAATCTAGGCTTTTGCACTAATCAACAAAATAAACTAAAATAACTACAATAAATTTCAAACATTTCAAAAAAACAACAATAACGACAGAAATTCATACTAAAAAAACAATGAACATAACATTCTAAAAAATAAGAATAAAATAAAATGCACTTACCATGAATGAATGCTTCTTCGAACAGCAGAAATACCAATTTCAAACATCACCAAAAGCATCTTCTCCCATTTCAGAACAACAAATGAAAAATATATAAACCACCAAATAAAACACAAAATCTCATTTCCGATTATAAGTAGGCAACATAGCTTTAACATGTTGTGGCGTAATCTCCATCGTATTTATATGACAGCAAGATTCACTATCCACAAAATTGATAGTATCTTTCACAAATAAATGTTTAAAACCTTCTTCTCCTAAATACTTGTAGAATTTCCAGCCACCCGAAAAAATAGTTGTACCAGGCAAGTGACTAAAATTTTGCCAACACGTCTTTCATTGCATCATAAATCACTTAAATATCACACACCACATGAACCAACTAGCAACTAAAAACACTACAGTAAAATCCAAGTTTTCACTTAAAAAGGGTTGCCATAGAAACTGACATCACCCCCAAAACCATTGCACAACACATATTGCTGCATTTGGAGACCTGAAGACACATATAAGAAGTAGTACCTATTTTTATTCTATTGTTATTTTTTAAATAATAGCAAATAATTATGCTATTATCAATAGCATAATTATTTGCATAATGATATTTATATTGCATACTTAAAAATATAATGTCTACAGTTAAAAAATTAATAAGCTACTTGTAATAAAAACTCTTAGACTTTAATATTTCTAAAAAAATTAACTTTTCTTAAAATTGGAGTATTACTGGTGTAAATGTGTTTTTAAAACAATGATTGCAAATAGTTTATATATCTAATTTATTTGTTAAATTTTTGATTTGTTACTGTTTTTTGGTTTGTAAAATGTGCATGGAATTTATGCAAAATAAGTATTTGCAGCAGTCAGTTTTTAATGGTAAATGTTGTCTTTTAACATTGTCTTTTATTTGATTCATTTGTTGATTCTATTAATTATGCCGTTTTATGTTACAGTTTGGCTTTTAAATAGTTTATTAAAATATCAGTCTATTTTAAATATAAACTATTTCATTAAATTTTTTATGTGAGACATTTAGTGAAAATAGAATTGTAAATTATTCAACATTGAAATTTAAGACTTATACTACTGGATTCTGGACACTATTCAATGTCATCAAATGTAAATTGCTTCTCTTGCTGGTATGCCAGTGATAGGATTTATCTGGTTTGCACCAATTGGCTCAACTAGTTTTTAAATAATTTTTTTCAATAAAGCCAGTTATTACAACTGACTTATTATATTTTGGCACTTTATTGCTGCTATTTATAACTAACTTTATCTCTTATTTAGACAGTAAACCAGTTCTTACTTTTTTTTTTTTTTTTTTTTTTTTTTGTCATTTTACTGTTCTATAGTCTTTTTTTTTTTTTTTTCCTGAGATGACAAAGATGTTAAAAAAAAAAAAAAAAGAGACAGAGAGAGAGAGAGAGAAAGATATACCAGTCCATCTTCTGTATTCTTCTACTTTATAAATGATTCAACACATTCCTTGCAGAGGGAATTTTTTTAGAATACACTATCTATAGATTTGTTTACTATGCATATTATAGGTATTTTAAGTTTATTGTGCAAAAGCCCTTGCATCTTGGTTCAGTCCCAAGCAATGGACCTGTTACTTGACCAGTTCTCATGGGCTTTCTCATGTGTAATGTGAATGTAAGCCAATTCTCCTTAGAAGGTCCTCGACAAAGACATGCTTCTGATTAGGCAGATAACCCTTATGTGCTTTGCTATATTCAAATAATCTAACCTATTTGTACAAAATCCTGTTTGATGTAGTTTAAATGTATTTTTATGCAACATAAATAAGTCTTTTTCTTCACTATTTCAGACATAATTGTAGGAATTTCTATTTCTTCACAACAGCAAATTTATACTCCCTTAATTTTAAACAAATTTATACCTTTTCAAAAGAAATGTTTAAACTCTCTAGCTTACACTATTAATAAACTTATTATATGTTAATTTTTTAATAAATCATGTTATGTCACGAATTTTAATTATTATTATGTGTTTAAAGTTATTATTATTCTAATATTTTTATTTGTATTCATGTATATTTTAAGCTGGAAAAAAGTATTCTTAAGCTGTTAAGGCTTTATTTAACTCGTTATTCTTGAGTAGGAATTGTAACAAAAGCGAGAGACGGTAGCGAGGAAACACATCTGGTTTATTGGTTTATGGCCTTTTTACTAACACTGGAGGCAGTAGGGTGTTCTGTGTCACCTTTACTAATGGCGTTTGAAATGAAAATCGTCTTGCTTTCGCTTTGTTATAGTTTCAAGTTTGCCTGCTTCAAGACAGTGGGGGGTTGAACTAAGCTTAGGTAATTGGATTCTCGTAAAGCTTAGTTCCGCTTGTTAGTTGTGGGGTCCACTTTTCTCACGTTGTGTGTACAGATGTTTTTCGGATTGCATTGCCAGATTTTCTGGTGTTTGATTCGTCATGGGTGTGTCATTTTCTCAATTTAGATAACGTAAAATTCCGGCATTGGTGTGATTTTAATTTTATGATTTTTGAAAGCCTATGAACTCACAGAGGCGGAGAAACCGAGATTTCCTGGGAGCTTGCACCAGGCTAAAGTTCATTATTTTCGGATTCTGATTTTTGAAGAAGGAAAAGAAAAAAAAAGTGGGGGCTTGACCCTCGCGGGTCTTGCTCTCGCAAGCCGCGTGAACCAGCGAGCAGCAGATATGATTTTCTCTCGGCGTTTAGCTGCTGAGAATTTGAGTTGGCATAAGGCGTAGAGCTCAGAATAGAATTTCTATTATCTTGTTCCAAGAATTGTAATGCAGATTCCCGTAGTGATCCTGATGTGGTATTCCTGGTTTTACTGACTTTGACTTCCTAATTAGATTTTGTTCCAAAGGTGCTCTACGTTTTTGGTGGGTTTCGAGGTTTCCAGAATGAAAGAGACTCGTGTAGGATCCGTCTAAAGTGTGCGATGCTGTTTATTCCGCCTGTGTCAGCTGCGTTGATTTTTTTCCCATTCTTCCATGCTCTGGAATTTATTAATTGTAAGGACAGCTTCAGTGGTGTTTCAACCAAGACATCTTTAAAATTCGCACGATCTGTCTGTCTCCATTGACGATGATTTTGTGAGTAAAGGACAGCAGGAATAATGTGGTGCTCGAGTAAACTTTGGACGCTGGACGATCTGTGGAGCTGTCAAATCACCTTATTAATCAGTTTACAAAGGTATTCCCGAGTAAAGGGAGTGTGCGGTATGGACTTCACCCCGTGAGTGATTTGTTTTTTTATTTGTTTTACTTTAATAATTATCTTAATACTCAAGGAAGAGTCATCATTTTAATGTTTGTTGAAATTTGAGCAATTACTTAAATTAATTAATCGATGTGGAAATTATCGGTGTTTTTAAAGGGAATAAATACTTAAAGTTAGAAGATGAAATGGGAGAAATACTGGTGTTACTCTTATGATACAGTAGGATTTGATAATGTTAATCTTAATTTTTGTAAGCTGTAATTGCGTGTGACATTATGTGTTATTTTTCATAGTAAAAGTATGTGGTAGGATTACTGATCAGTTATCCATTATTTAGTAATATAATAATATTCTAGAATTTAATAAATGTGTGTTTAAAATTTAATTGTATTTGTGTATTTATCTTGTGTATAATTTACTGTGGTCATGTCCCTCCATTTGTTTGAGCCGGGAGGCTTTTAAGAAACATGGAGTTTTTATTGAATTTAGGTTACTAATATTTCCTTTTGCATAGGTTACTCACAACGCGAACCTAAAAGTTAAATTGTACTACCACTATAGAATGTTTATAAGAATGTCGATATGATATATGAATGAATTATTTGATTTTTTAATTAGTTTTGTCCGCCACCATGAATTAGTTTCAGTTAAGTTTAAAAAGTTTTAAAACACCCAAATTTTTAGATATACAACAATTATAAATTTATATATGTATATATAGCTATAATTAAAACAGAAAATTTTAAGTTGTAATCAATCATTGATTAATGCTCATTGTTGAATATCTGAAAAATAATTCTCTCTTTCTGCACTTGTTTTATCCAGTATTCCTCAGCTTCCTGTATCTCTTGTGCAGTAAGAGGACCTTCTTCACAAGCACATTTTCTTAGCTTGGGAATAAACTATTTCACCAAGCTGTGGCTCTCAACAATTTTTCCAGACTGCTGAACGTAATAATATTTAATGCAGTTTCTTCTGCTGGAAGAATCACATGAACATAAGAGCTCAAATGTTCCAAATTTTAATTAGTAATTCATATTTATAAAAATGCAAAGAAATTAAAATTATTCTTAAATTAGCGCAGGAGCTAAAGAAATAACAGCTGCACTATAAAATGATTTTTCTTTAGGGTATTGTAAACTTGTGAGGTTTCATTCCTTTATGTTCATAGAAATTGTGTTTATGTTCTTTTTTTAATCTATCTACAATATTTTTAATAAAGTATAATGAAATTTAAAAAATAAAGTTATTGTCACAGTTGATTCAAAATATGAAATGCAATGTAATATAAATTCCATTTTTTTAAGTATGGTACTATCAATGAGTCATATCTTTCAAAATAAACTATTTCATATTGAAGTATATAATTGTGTTCAAGATTTAAGAAAAAAATTGTCTCACAGGATAATGTATGCTTTGTGTTATTTTTTACTGAGTAAAAGTGATGTAGAGTCAGATCTTCTCACCCTGACATTTTAGAAAATTGAAACAATAAGGTTCACAGTTGTCATTTAAGCTATGAGTTATTATTAATTAATTAACTCCACAAACACTCTCTGCCTAAACAGAATGATGCTTTATTGAATGATTTTTATAGGGAAAATAAGCTTTCTTTTATGTTATGAATGGGGAAAACTATGGAAGCACCCATGCAGTAGCCAGCATGCAGATCTGATCCTGTATTGAACTGCCAGTATTCAATGGTCTTATTTATACGACCACTGGTAAATCAAGCAACAGTCCCATACGTGCAGGCTAAATTAAATTACAGGTTAGAAATTTATCTTGCCAAAAAGTACAGATTACACAATGATAATACTGCAGGATTTTTCAAAACAATTTCTCGCATTTTTTAAAAATTATTATTATTAACTGAATCTCCCTGTCTTTTTCTCTAACACTGTAGTATTACGATAAAATTCTAGAAACATTTTAACTATCGTATAGATTCCATTATAGGCAGTTTTTGATTTAAGAAATTATTATAATTTTCACTTTATTGTGATTGTTATTATCATCATTGCTGTTTTTTAATTATATGGCAAAATGTTGGCATTTAGTGACTATATTAATTTAAAATTTATTTTGTTATATAACTTTTTTTTATTTCTCTGTTTTTTAGGCTTTAAGATCAGCTGAACTGTTGGGTTTTTTTATAGATGCCAATCTTCTGTGTGATAGTATCATGGTTCTTATTCATAAAACCCCATCATCTGTACATTTAAGTGTGTTTGCTGCTGTGCTTAGAGGTCACAAAGGAAAACTGTCTAAAGACTGTTTTGCAGGAATTTGTAAATTGCTTTCAGATCCTTTAGTTTGTAGAGTACGAAAGGTAATTTTAATACATCTTATTATTGAATGTTGAATTGTTTTCTAAATTATTAACTGAATGTTATATAATTTTTTTCTTGCAGATTAGTGTGTGTTTCTTATCCAGATCTGAAAATATAAGCAAACTGTGTCTATTTCATTACTTGATGTCTGTATTATTACAAGATTTTTTTTAAATATAAAACAAAGTTGCATGAAATACTATTAATTTTATGGGCATCTTAACTTTTTGCAATGCAGAAAGTGATCTTTTCAAATTCAGAAAATGAAAAAAATTATAAATTGCATATTTAGAAATGCTTGAATTTTTTAATTGAAAAAATATAGGAAAATGGGTATTTTTCTGTTATGCATCTGCCATGCATTTTGACGAGTTTATTAATTGTAAACTCACAATGAAATTGTTAAATTAAACAATCGTTAAATGGGGCTAACTTGGATTGTGGCATGTGTTTGGTTTTTCTTTTCCAGGTGCCAAAGAGCATGGCAAATGCCTTACAGAAATGTACCAAAAATACTATATTAATGCAATTTTTTTTAAATGTTAGACGCTAGAAAATATTGTTTATATTCCAAATTTTTGTATGCCTTTTAATCATGGTCATTATTTATGATTTACTTTTTATTCAATGTGTATTACAATAATTATTAGCTCTTTTGTCCTGGCTGTCATGCAGACATAGCAGCATGAAATGCATTCATTTCCTAGCTGACGTGCCAGCGTGACAGAGAATTTTCTTTTTGTGCGAAAGTTTTGGAACCTTTTAGAAACTAATATTGTCATATAGATGAAGTGATCGAATTAAGACAAATGAAGAGGAAAGTATTCAAATCTCAGCTTAAGACAATATTATTCAAACTGAATAAGTAACCACTTACATGCATTTGATAAACAAGCTGGAACATTTTAGATTTGGAAGGTTCTAAAAGACGGAGAACTTTTTTTAATGAATTGAATATAATGGAAATAAATGTAAACAAAAGCATAAATTTTTAGGTGACTTGCCTTTGATCGGTTTCGAACCCTGGACCTTCGGTGTCCGAATCCGACATTTTACCCACAGAGCCACAATGTACTCGATCAGAAGGAACAATTTTCACTGCATTTCCCCCTCTTGGGAAGCAGTAGCATCCCACTACAGTCTGAACTAGCTTCTTGTAACAAGTTTCCTTGAAATAATGTGCGTTCTTCCATAGTCTTGTTGTACATTTGTGCCAAGATAGGGTTTTAATCTCAATATGAATGAGAATATGTGAACAATGCGTTTTGAACTTCATCATCTTATGCTTTGTTCCATACTTTGTACTCAATACATCATGTCAGATAGTTTTCGTGTTATTCAATGTGGTCCAAAGTAATGTCTTGGAAGCTTTTGGATAATCCAACCTTTTATACTGGAGTGAAAAGACCCAGTATCCAGTACTTCTTCAATATTGTAGGATCGACAGGTCGATTTTTTTCATCATATCATTGTGTCATATAGGCTTGCACTTTGAGGATGTGGAGTTTTGCAAGCTATCTAGCTTATTCAGCTCTGTAATCAGATGTTGTCGGGATCTTCAGTACTGGGTGAAAAAAATTATGTCAAAAGGAGGCTCTACCATGAATAAAAAAGAATGTGCTGAATCCCATTGTGTCTTGTTTGGCTGAATTATAAGCAAAAGTCGTAGTATCCTAATTTCTCTGCTCAATGTCTAAATACATGGGCAACATGTTTGCCAATGTCTTGTTGAATCTTTGTGTTAAACCATTGGTTTGTGGATGGTAGGCAGTTGTCAGACGATGAGACATCTGACATAATTTATTAATTACTTGAACAACATTGGATAAGAAGTTACATCCTTAATTACTTATCATTTGGGAGGGGGCACCATGCTTCAGTAGAATTTCTTCAACTACAAATTTGACAATTTCTGTGGCTTTAACAGTTGGTACTGCTCTTGTGATTGTAAATCTGGTTAGGTAATCTGTGCAAACAATAATTCACCAGTTCCCATTTCAGATAACTGGAAAGCATCCAATTAGATCTATTCCAGTTTTGGCAAATAGTATGCTGAGGGTTTTATTGGGTAAGTTATCCTGGTGGAAGCTGTGATGGTGATTTCCATCTTCGGTACATTCGACGGTGTGATACATTTGGCATTCTCGATGGTATATTTTGTGCTCCCATGTAGACCTGGCTGAAACTACTTCCTCCTTATTTGGTTGTACGTTTGGGCAAATCTGAGATGACCGGTGGTTGGAGCATCATGAAGACTTTTTAGAACATCATTACAAAGTTGTCTTGGTACTACAAGAGCCATTGCTGTCCCATGGGATCATGGCTTCTTTTGTGCAGTGTATTATTTTTTATTTAATAATTTTGGTATGTGTCATCTCTCTTGAGAGTTCTAATGATAGACTTAATTGTTTATCCTTTTGCTGCTCTTTTCCGTAATCTGTAATGTCTGCAAGTAAAGAGATGTCATCATTCCTCTGAATTATTGGTTTGACAAGGGGCTTCCTTGGTAGCAAAACCATGTTGAAGTGTTCATAACTCTTTTAGATAGCATTGATGTGATGCTCCTCCAACCTGAGAGTCCACTGTACAAGTCTTCCAGATGTATTCTTATCATTGGCCTGCCAACATAAAGAGTGGTGATCTGTAACTACCATGAAAGATATTCCAGAGATTCAAATGAAATTCTAAGAAAGTCTATTGGCAATACTTTGTTCAAACTCCTGCAAAAATCCTCCGGAAAGACAAATTAGCTAGTATGAATGCAAGGATTGCAACATGGGACTGTGCGTAAATCCCTGCTTTAATCAAAGTGAGTTTTAAATAAAATGTTTATTGTCAACTGTATAATGGCAAAAGTCACTAACAAGGAATAAATGCTGAAAGAAAAAATTTAATGTGTAAAATAAAAATATTTAAACAAGAACAAAAAAAGCTTAAGTATGTGACATATGTAAATAAAAAGTACATAAAGCATATACCACATATATACTTTACAGAACATTATTAAACAATGCATTTTATCATTTTGTAATTTCATAGATTAGGCTTTGTAGTGCAAAACTTTCCTTCCTTGGAGAGATGCTCGTGAAAGCAAGAGCCAGTCCCAGCAGTACATGTGTGTCTGCACCTTTTGTCCTGGAGATAGCTGGTTTTTTTAATGTTTTGTGTTTCATTTAGTCCTGTGAGAATATTTCCATAATAGGCTCAATTCATTTTTATGTTACTTATGCAGGATTCAATATTTCATTATCATACTTATTGTAAATACCACATTAAGTATGAATCAAACTCATTTTGCACTATTCAAACTAAAAATCAGATGTAACTAAAGCATAAGCTAAATAATATTTGTATTTGTATTTACTTTTATTTTGCATTTATACTAATAAATTGCCAGTCTTGATTTCAGGCAGAAGAACAAGCTAATTTATTACTTTGCATTGAAGGACTGCTTACATCTCACAATGAGATTAATCCCATAACCAGTTATCAAATATTCACTACATTGATGTCAGTTTCTGGATTAACAACAAGTGATGCCGTCTCAAAAAAGGTCTGTTGTTTTTATCTATATTTTGATAATTGGTAGGCATAAAATTTAAAAGGCCTAAATTTGATTGAAAATATATTGCATAATTATAGTTTAATGATAATTCTGTTTTTATGTATTTAACATTCATATTTAGTGTTGTGTTCTGCTTAAAACCATATATTCGTTGGTTATTAATTACAATCTTCTTTCTTCAAAATTCATATCCAATTTTCTTCAATTCTTTCTCATAAAATGAATAAGATAATTTGAATTCTTGCAAGTACCCAAATAATGTAGCATAGCAATACAGCAAACCCTTGTTGAATGCAGGGTTACGTCATTAATGTATTGTGCATGAAGCAAAGTTAATTTCTATGAAAAAGTGTGCTATGTGTATAATTCAGATAAAGAAAGTATGCATAATCTAGACAAATCTAAATATTGTTATATTTAAAAGGCAAAAAAAAATGTTAATGGAAAGAATGTTTATTACTGCATAATAAGTATGTAATAAAATTATTATTTTTTAAAGCTGTTAACTTTTGGTTTGGGACAATGACTGATGTAATGCTTTTAAAATTTCATGGTAACAAGCACGGAAGTTTTCAGTGCCTCTTCTGCCCAGAGCTGATGCCAGCAAACATTTAGTGTTGATGAATAACATTGAAATGCATATGAACGAAATTCTAGCATTGAACAAATTTAAGGGAAACAATTAAGATAATGCATATGTGCAAAATCACATTCTCCGCTAAGGTTTACTGTGTATATTTCATGCATCTATTAATGTATAATAAGTAATAGGTGGTAAATGTAATAACATCTGTCACATTATATTTACAGCCAAAATCACGTACTTAGTGTTCACGTACGATAAAGTTACTGCTGTGTAATATGGTATTTATTTACAATGAATGCCAGTTTTGCTTTGTAGTCAAGACAGTAATTAATTTTTTATTACTTTTTTTGTGTGTGTGCATGTGTTTATCAAAATATTCTTTGGTTTTCATTACAGTTTGTTCTCTAAATCTTACTCAACATTTTCTAGTTTCAGTATAAATTATTTTTCATCTTTATTTATTTATAAATTAGGATTTTATTATTAGCATATCTTATAAATTATTAATTTTACATTACTTATTTATTTATTTTGTGTATCTTCAAGTTTTAAAATTATATTAAAATCATTATTTTTATTATTACAGAAATTATTATTTTTAATTTTTCATAAAACTTTACTTTCAGTTTTACATTTTTAGGTGCTAATAATTTATTATCACTTTGAAACAAAAGATAGAATATTTTTAAATTATTGCAACATTACATGTACTCTTTAATATGAAATTATTATTTTACATTGTGTGTTTATATTCATTATGAAATCACATCTTTTTTTTAACATGAAATTAAAACATATTTATATTAAGAATCTGTAATATTTTGTAAACAAGAAAGGTAGATTGTAATGCAGAATTTGAAAACAAAAAGGATGCAATGTGTAAAGTATGTGTATTATTGTTTATTTTTAAATAAAATTAATGAGTTTTCAAGACTTTAAATACAATGTTTAGGTCATTCTGTGATCCTAAGCATACTAATATTCAAAGACTTCTTGTTAAAAAAAAAAAAAAAAAAAAAAAAGGCTCTGTCTGTTATTGAGTCTATTCCAATTTCTGATGCTAATTTTGATATCACATTGCAACCTTTAAAGAAATGTTATTGAAATAAAAGAGAATTAATTAGCCATTAAGCCATAAAATATTTAATTTGCCTAATGTTTCTGATGCAGCTATTTTACATTATGCTGATGTAGTGAATAAATGTGTATGTACCTTGAGAACTCTTAAGCTAGAAGCCTCTGATCTTTCTAATATTCTTTTTGTTTATCTGATAACTGAGAAATTAAATAAAAACATAAAATTTTGTTGGGAACAAACTTTGAAAAAAGATGAATGAGGTATATCAGGTAATTAATAACCTGAGTTCTAAAAGACCACACTAGCACCAATTCAGAACAGTAGAAATCAATCTAAGGATTTTAAGAAGTTTTCTAATTCCAAAGTAACTTCTTTAGTATTGAGTAAAAGCAGTTGGGTATTATGCAAAGGAGATCATTCTCTTCACAAATGGGGTAGGTTTCTAAACTTAAGTGTCCAAAAAAGAATTAAATTTGTTAAGAAATACAAAATTTGTTTTAATTGTTTATCTTTTGAGCCCCATTTTGTGAAAAATTGTCTACTTTAAATGAACATATGATATGTAAATTGCTCCATCATACTGTTCTTAAATTTGATCGAAATCCCAAAATTAGTGAAAATAAAACCCTAAACAAAATTTCCCATTCTCCCTCAGGGCTGAAGTTTTCTTACTGAGGAATTAAGAGGTAGTACCGAGAATAAAGAGCTAAAGTTAGTTAGACTTAACACGAAAATCGAAGTCTTATATCTTGGTTCATTTAACAGTTTAATGAGTGGTCAAGTGGAACTGAACTTTATCCCGCCTTTTGAGTCAAACTCTTAATTTTGAATGTAGCCATTCGTGATTTCAAAGATAACTTTAGATAAGGTGTCACTTCTTTCTAACATTGCGGATCATTTTTGATGATCTAGTCTTGGCTGATCCTACGTTTTATGAAGGAAAACTTTTGTATTTTGTTAAATGTAAATGTATTCTTTACTATGCTTAAGGGAGACATCATAAAGAGAGGACAATCATTGCTCTTTGAAGTTTGTTCTCAGTTGCATTGGATGATATCTGGGAATAATCTTATAGATGACTCGAGTCTTACTACCACTTATACAGTGAATAATTTTCACTTGACTACTAATGAATTAGTTGAAAAGTTCTGGTCTTTAGATTCATTCCTGAACTAAAATGTATCTCTAGTGAAAATCAAGAATGTGATGAATTCTTTAAAAAAACATACTTCCTTGATCAAAGTAGTCGTTATGAAACTATCATTCAAAAAACCCCTTCAAAGTTGGGCGATTCGAAGGATCTTGCTGTAAAGAGATTTAAATCTTTAGAGCAAAATCTCTGAAAATCTCCTGATACAAACAAGATGTATGAAGAATTTACGAAAGAATATTTGGATGCTGGGCACACAGAACTAGTTTGTTGTACAGTCTCCAGACCAGGCATACTGCATGCCACATCATGCAATAATTAAGGAATCTAGCTCTATGAGTAAAATATGTGTGGTTTTTAAGGCTATTAGTAAATCTTCATCAGGAATATCTCTTAATGATATATTGATGATAGGTCCTAGAATACAACAAGAACTATTTTCAATTTTCATAAAATTCAGATGTTACCCTGTAGTCACAGCTGAAGTCATGAAAATGTTAAGGCAAATTTTAGTTAATGAAGAGGACGAAGACATTCAAAGAATATTTTGGCAGAACATTCCCAAGTGAGCCTATTCAAGAATTTTGACTTAATACTGTCATATATGTCACTGCCTCCGCTCCTTATTTGGTTACTCGCTCTTAATACCAACTTGCCTATCATGAGCAGAATAACTATTCTCTAGCTGCGAAGGCTGTGCTTCAGAAAAACTTTTTTTGTAGATGATTGTTTGTTGGGTGGTTGATGATTGTTTGCTTTTTTTGTAGATGAAGGTGCTCAAGATATAGAAGAATGCAGAACCCTAGTAAAGCAGCTCTTGCAAATGTTAGAACATGGAGGATTTATTCTACTTAAATGACCATCAAATTATGTTACAGTGTTAGAGAATATACCAAAGAGTTGAGAAATGATTCTGGGCCTATGAAAATTCAAGACGATAGCTCAATCAAAATTTCAGAAATTAATTGAATCTCAATGAAGACTATTTTTAACTTTTCCATGTACAATTCCTGAGAAAAGTTTGCACTGGAAGAGGTATCCTTTCTGATTTAGTGAAAATATTTGACCCATTGGGTTGACTTGTTCCTTGTATTATTTATGTCAAAATCTTGAAATAAGGACATGTGGAAACTCCATTTATCGTGGGATGAGCCTGTTAGCGATGTGATTGCTAACAAATGGAGTTTCCAAAAAGATTTCCATCTTATTCAACAATTAAAAATACCAAGATTTGTTCTGATTCTTGAAGTAAACTATACTGATGTTTTTTTTTTTTTTTTTTTTTTTTTTTTTTTTGATTCCTCTGAAAAAGGCTACTCTGCTGCTATATATTTATGTTCACTATCATGAAATTTGGACATCAAATCTCACTCTCAGCATCAAAAGAGTTGCTCCTCTGAAGGTGCAATCATTACTTCAATTAGAGTTATGCATCGCAGTTTTGTTAGTGGATTTCCTAAAATCGGTGTTAGAACATTTAGAGTTTCCTATGCATAATGTACTGGCCTGGACAGATTCAACAGTTGTACCATGCTGTATTTCTTCAGAATTATATTGCTGGGTTACCTTTGTCTCAAACTGCATTGCCAAAATAGAGAACACAATTTCTAATGTAAAGTGGAACAATATCAATGGAAAACTGAATCAAGCTGATTCAGGTACCAGAGGAATGTTCTCAGCCATATTTCTGAATTGTGAGAGCTAGTTCCTGAGACATACTTGGTTATATTAACATGATTTCAAAACATATCCTGACAGTGAATATCTGTGTGCTGATGTATATCATGAAAGAGTTCCTAGAAAAGGAAGAAAAACGTGCATTTCAGAATCTTGTACAGTAAAGAAAAATGATATTTTTAAATGGTATTTGTCTTGATCAAAATTACATCGCATAGTTGTATTCATTCATTTACAACTTAGATTAATTTACAACTGTCATAACCCCACCAAAAATCATTTGAAAAGTTTACTGACAATCAAAGAGCTAAGATTACCTACAAAAATAGTTTTGGTGTCTCCAAATGTAAAATATGTTGACTTAGTTCTGATCAAAAATTAACAATGACTAAATAGGAACTGTGAACAAATGACCTCACTGAACTATAATTTTTTAACTAATTTTTTGTTAATGTTTATTCTGCATACTTTAACTGTTTTGTCTTTTTTGAACCCTTAAGGGCCGTTCAGACTGGGGTTTATCTGAGCTAACGGAGTCAGTTCCATGTGTCAACTAGCTCTGCTATACCTGGAGCTCAGATTTTTCAACTCGTTGCCCTGTGGGGAAAAACTGGTTTTGGAGATGGGTCGACTACGTCAGATGTCTCCTTTAGCTCATAAACCCCATCTAAATGGCCCTTCAAAGTAAGAAGTTAATTTTTATTTATTTTTTTTTTTATTTATTTTTATTTTACCAAGTGAATTTTTAGTGTGTCTTGAAGTCACAGTAGATGGCACTAACTCTTCATGATTTCATTTATGGTTGTCATGGTAATGAGCCTTGTTTTGTATGTATTAGTGTATTTTATTTAATCTTGCTGCTACTGTGTAAAATTGCAACTATAAATATTGTGATAGGATGTGGATGACTTTTCTTCAATGTTAAAGTGTTATCATTATTAAAGTTTTATTACAGTCCATTATCTCATCTTGTGAACCTATTTTCGTAATTAGTAATGTTATGCAGGAAAGTAAAGAAATTCGGAAATTAAGAAAATGATAAGTTTCCATAATTCCAATACCAAAAGATTATTAAAAAGGTTACTGATCATGCCAAGCAAGTGACAAACAAAGATTATTTAATTAATTAATCAGTTAGACAGGATTGCCACGCTACCTGGAAAACCGGGAGAACCGGGAAAAGTCAGGGAATTCGAAAATTGACCAAAATATTCAGGGAAAAGTCAGGGAATTTAAGTATTTTTGTCAAAATCTGGAAAAGTCAGGGAAGTTCATACAACGATCCCGCCAAAAAAAGCGATTTTTGCGCCGACGTCGGAAGAGATAACTTTTTTGGCGAATTATGTATCACGTGAGTGTCATTCGGGTAGCTGGCATAGAGCCAATTTTCGCAGCTCCAATTTGATTGTCTTTTAGAAAGGCAAAGCAACTTTCCCGCAACTTTTGGTTTCCAGTAATTCTCGAGAATCACGTGTGCAGTGCATGAACTAAAGAAAGTACCTGTTCTCGTATAAAACATAATGGGTTTAATCTTAGTATATGGTACCATGAAGGTTAGAATCAAAGAATATGTATTGTAAAGAAGGAAAACCTCTCTGCAACAGACGTGGCTCTGTTCCATCATAGAGGGAAACAGCTGTGCATACACGCGATATATCTGTTCGCCAATGCTCGAAACCGGTGTCGAAGTTTCGAAGGTCACGTTATCAAGAGTTCAATAAAATGAAATATCGTTTAAAATTTCTTTAACGACTCTAAAGCGAAAATAAAAAGACGTGCCACGCACGTCGAGATGCTTTTGTCTCAAACCGTGAGCGACGTGAAACACCACGTCGATAAGCATTTATCGCAAAATGAAAATAACGTGGTGCACACGTCGCCTAACAACGAGATTGTTTATTTCTCGAGTTACAGCTCTGGATTGCACTCGCAGATGCGGAGCGGCGTAAATGAGACACTTTACCCGCTTGTTATATTGTAGCGCACGGCACCGCAACCGTGAAGTTTAGTCTTACCGCAAGTGTTTAAACTCTAAAGGAAAGAAAATATTTTTTGGCGCAAGTAAATTAATTCATGGATTAGTTATTTTCAGGGGAAAAAAAACTACGAAAATCCGTTTTTAAAATTATTGCGTGGATTTTTCGCATAATTTTTAAAAACGGATTTTCGTAGTTTTCTTTTTTGTCAAAACCGTTTCTTCTACACACGGTTTTTTCTCAATTTCCTGTACACACATCGCGGAGAGGGAAATTCTGGCCGCCAGGTTCCGTCGCCAAATCCCTTGGCAAATTTTCTCTCCGCATTCTAACGGCGTAATAGCATTTTACTTGTATGGAACGTTTTCTTCTTTACATAGACGTTCTTTGGTTAGAATAATAATGGGATTTGGCGACATCATGATGCTCAGTAAACGGGTCATTTTGGTCTTGGCGACAATTTTCAAAATCGTGCCAAAGCCTTACCGTATACTAGAATTTTAGCGCAAAATCTTTTTAAACTTTTTTTTTTTTTCTTTTTAATAAATACCTTGCCATTTTGCAGTAAAATAAAAAAAATAGTAATCAGTCATCTAGGCTAGCCATGTAATATAACTATATTCGCTAAAATATCGTTGATTATTCTAATTCAATTTTTAAGTAATTATTTGTATGTTATTCATATAATTCAATGTTGCTTCTTCCCTCTAAATTTATTTATTATTAGTAAATAATATTTCCAAATTTCAGGAAATTTTCTCTGGCATAATCCTGAAATTAATTATAGCAGTATGATGACATACCATCACGAAATTTAATGCACATATTTTTTCCTTATGTATGCTGCGAAATAAATATATAAATACCTCAATTTATTAAAATAGATTTCTTTCTTTCGTTTAGCTGCTGAATGTCTGCAAAAAAAGCCTTATTTTATTCCAGATTGGGAAGATTCTAATCTCAATCTTCAGTGGAGAAAACAAAAACTTTTATAATTAAATTTGTGTTTTCAAGTGTTAAGGTGCCTTTTAAGAACATACCTCAAGCAAATTAAATTTACCTAAAGTCTAACCTAACTTTTAGCATTGCGTTGTGATTTATAAGGACCGGATTAGCCTCGTGTTGAACTGGTGATGATCATGAGTAATAATTAAATAAAACGTACATTTGTTATCCAATGTATATATCTTAAATTTTATTAAGTTTCTTAAGTGGAAAACTAAACAAAATTATCAAACAAAGTGTACCAAGAATAATTAAGAATAAATGTCCTCTGGAATTTATTGAATAATTAAGTGAATTTGCTACACAGTACAAGTAATACCATAATTAATTTACCTCTAAGCACAGCCAACGTACATTACGCGGATAGACTGGAATTTTCTTGAAACACACCTGGAAAACCTGGAAAAGTCAGGAGTGGCAACCCTGGTTAGAAGTGGTGGTGAACTTTACCGTAGAGAATAATCTTTTTGGATTTTCATCCATGTAGGTGCAGTTGTGTACACTTAAATTTTTCTTGAACAGCCATTGGCTAAAATAGCTCACATGCTGAGAAAGCGAATGTCTGCCAAGTTGAAATGCTACATTAATAAAAGGGTTTTTCCCTTGCACCCTCTTTTTCATGATCTGCGGCCACATCAGAATAAGTTGGATAGGACATATATTTTCCTCTCCCCTTCCCTGAAAAAAAGTGAAATTATGTCTCATTTCCCTTGAAATTGATAAGAGTTTAATTCAAAATCTACACGAAACTTAAGTTGCCTAAACAATCTAAGAAATATCTTACCTAATTTTAAGAAAGTACATCTGTTTTTTTCCACTATCATCAATGTACATATATAGTAAATTATAATGACTTTTATGATTGGCAACCAAAATTTAGACATATTTTGATTTTTTCTTTTTTTTAAATAAAATAAAATATATTTTTGCTATACATTGCTTTTTAAGAATGTTTCTGTAAGCTATAACTATTTCTGTTTAAATTTTTTATTGAATTATTATCTATAATTTGGAGAATAATTGTATATTTTGAATAAAACACTTCAGTTTTATAGGTTTGTATTATCCATCTCAAACACTTTCTTGCTGCAAAAATTTCATTTTCAATCCATTTAAAATTATTTCTTTATTTCTGAATCCTCTATGAAGCATTTTATAATCAAGAAAATAATTTTTAATAGGCTGCTGATCTTATGGAAGGTTTAGCCAATTTACAGGAATGCTCTTGTATAAGCTTGTATAAAATGCATTCTGTTTCATTATTGAAGATTATGACAGCCAACAATGAATTATGGACTTACCAAAATCCAGAACTGTTCATTTTTGAGTCTTTGGTGCAATCAGGTATATTATTTATTGCTTTTTAAAACTAAAGATTTTAATATTGTTACATACTACATATTTTTGTAAATGTCCTTAAATAACTGGGATAGAGGAACGGGAAACTTTACCCAAATGAGTAACAGTTTTTACAGGCAATATAAAATAGCTCCAAGAGGGAAAATAGAGATAAGGTGAAATCCTAACATGTAGCTCCCTAATATTTCCTAACATTATTGAGCAAGATGTTGAATAGCAAAGCAGTTATGTCACTCATTGAATTAAACTAAACTGACTCAAGCAGCCTCAAATATGACACAGGAAACATGCACATGTGTGTATACACACACTTGTGTGCAAAATTAAGTGAATTTGCTAATTATGTTTATTTTCACAAAAATCAAAGATAATACTTATGCCACTGAAGGATTATGCAAATAATAAGAGCCAATACTTAGGCACATACATGCATATCTGCAAAGCTGCGATTGTGGAGAGAATATAAGCACATGAGAGGTTTATATATATACTCGTGTGTGTATGCTTATATACAGACATACTCGTGTGTGTGTGTGTATGCATATATCAGATGTGATAAAAAATATTGTGATTGGTACCATACACTCAGAAAGAAGGCATGCAGAAGAAAGTCACCTGGTACAGATTGGCCTTGGTTTATGCTATAGTGTTATAAGGTAGTTTCTCCCTTCTTCCCACTTGCCTTCATTATGCTTTTTTTTGGTTTACTTAAGCATGCTAGGGCTATCTGCCTAAGAAGAAGGATGCCTTCGTGGAGGACTTTCTAAGGGAAACTGGCTCATATACACGTTACACATGGGGAAAACCACGAAAACGCCCATGCAGCCAGTCCGTTCGTGGGATTCGAACCTCGGACCGAACTACCAGTGTTCAGTGACTTTACCGCTCGGCCGCTGGTGGGCCGCCTTAATGATGGAAGCATGCTTGTGTGTATTCAGGAGGTCCGGAATTTGAATTGCAGTGCAGGCAATGCGGATTTTTTCAGTTTCATAACATAAAAAAAAATTCTAAAAGGCAGCACTAACTTAAGTTTTATTCTAATCTGCTTGCTTGTTTACTAAATAGTGCTTTGAAACAATGACTAAAGATCCTGTCATTGTATTCACCATAGCATAGAATATAGATCAAATTTTACTCAAAGGTTAATTATACCTGTGTAGAGACATATGCCTAAGACTTTTGCCAATAATAGATGTTTACTTCTCTTGCCCATTATAAATTCATGGATCTAACCTGGACTCGTATATTTAGATCATAAGGATAAGTAATGACAACGATTGCGATTTCTAAGTTTTTAAATTCTAATTTTGATTTTTAATTCCCTCTTTCAAAAATATCCTTTTTGAAAGCCATAATCAGTCACAGTTTTTACAGACATTTATATATTTTCTTATGCATTTATAAAATATTTGAATATAGATTTTTGTTTAAATATTGTTCTTCTGATTATAAAAGGTTCACTGAAATATGAAATAACATGTTATAGGAAATCTTGAAGAGGAATCAATTGAGTTAATCATCCCAGTTTTAACTAATAATCTCCATCCAAGCAAAGATGCTAAACTCCGTAGCAAAATATTGTCACTGTTGATTGAAATATTCAAAACATTCTCAGCCAAAGATGAAAAAATATCTGATAAGATCATGGATTTAATTCATGAAGGATTATTCCCCAACCTAACATGGGCACCTGGTAAAACTGCCAGTACTCTAAGGACAATAGCAGGAGCAAGTCTGTATGAAATCCTCAGCAAAAATTGTCTCACTGATGCCATGGTAATTGTCATACCCTAACCAAATTATTTATTTTTTTGTGATATATATATATGCCTTTATGATATATAATATAATAAATTATGTCCCGTTTTTCTGTTATTTGTTATTTTTTCCCCTGTGACTCAGTCTACCTTAAATTTGATTTATTAAATTATATTTGATATTGTAATAAATATATTATCTGGATTAGCATAAGCATTCCAAAATGAAAATGGGTACGTTGAATAAAGCTTTAATATTCAAATATGTTATTCTAAATTGTGTGTTGGCATATGATTTTTTTTTCTTTTTAGCTTGAAAATATTTTTTAAAATGAACATATTGGTTCAAAATGAAGTATTTTCTTTTTTCCCTCAGTTTAAACCTATAGCAGACGAGCTTCTTTCTATTCTTGCTACTCTTGCAGATGATGATGAAACATCTAATAGACTTTTAGCAGGCAAAATTTTTGAAAATATTTTACCGAAACTTCACACTTGTGTTGACGAAAACAAAATACATGCAACATGTCACGAATTTCTGCCATGCATGGATGATGAATCTGATGATATTAGAATGCTAACTAGTAGCATTCTTAAAACATACATTACATCATTTCCAAAAGATTATAACTGGCAAATGTATCGAGCACATCTGAAGCATATATATGAAACTGCTGTTATCCATATGGATGATAAAAATGAAAAGATTAGACTGAGAATTTTAAGTAAGTTTTAAAATATTTTTAATATAAAAGGAAATTATTTTGTTTAATGTAATACAGTACAAAGTCTGAGATCAGAAATCATTTCAAATTTTAGAAATTTTCAGATTTTAGATCATCAGTTTAAATCTAGTAAGATTACATGTAGAACTTATATAATTAAAAATAATTTCTTACATTCATGATCTCGAAAAAATAAAAAGTCTCAATATTAAATATTTTTTTATTTCATTGAAAGTTTTGTAATATAAGTTGTTAAATGTTTGAGAAATTTGGTTTTGTTTGTTAATTATTACTTATACATTTTATAGAGGGAAGTAATTTCTTGTTCAGGTACAAAGTTTCATTATTTGAATTCTAGAACTGCCACGTTAAGAATTCCCATAATGAAATTAATTGAAATCTTTTCATTCTCAATAACCACTATCAATTTCTTCACAGTAGGTGACAATATTTTTCACATTTAAAACCTACCATATGTTTTGCCATCTGCTGATTGATGATTTAGCTATTGCCATTACAGCCTTCTTTCCTGCAGTTTAAAAAAAAAATTAGGGGATTATGCAAGGTCCGTATAATACGATCATTCCAGTTATTGGATTTTGTACTGTATATATTACTTATCCTGTGAATATATATATTAGTTCATAATTTTCTTAGATGTTTAACTGAATTTTTGTTTAAAATTTATTCAAGGTATGATCTGTTTGCTAGTTATATATATATATATATATATAGTATATATGTATGTGTGTGTGTGTAAGATAATCTTCTTCAATATGGGTCTAATCACGCATCTACAGTGTTCCTTCATTTCCTTTGCTTATATATATATATATATATATATATATATATGTGTGTGTGTGTGTGTGTGTGTGTTTATGAAGCATATACCTGAACAGTTTATTATATTTTAGAGATTGACTTTAAAGAATTTCAAATAATAATTCATACATTTTATTTGTGAGCATCTTTTGTGATCAGTAGTAGCTTCATTTTCTCATCAGCCTATTTAGATTACTTGCATTATAAAGGGGGATTTCAGAATTTCTGTCCTCAAAAAACAGATAACCAGACTATGAACTGACAGCAGCATTTTCATATTATTAAAATTATAGATTTTGAACATAAACATCAGACTATAATATATAATATTGAGAATATTATTTGATCTAAGTAATTTCCTTCAAAGCATTCCAATAATTGTGAAAATTTGTGCTTTGGCATTATGACAGCAATGGTATTAAAACTGCTTGACTAATTCTTTTATGCATAGAAAATTATCCTGCTGTTTCAGAATATTCTGAATTGGCATTCATATATCATAATATCACTGCTGTTATTATAATAGGCCATATACCAGAAAACAACTGCTTGCTTGACTTTATCACTACTGATTCTTCCGCCTTCGGGTGTGGTGCGTAGCACCTTAATTTCTATAACTATCGTGAAAGGCCTTAGGGCACATTTTGATTTACTGGCAAAAACTCAATCTAGTTCATGCCAGTAGCAAAGTGATGATCCATGATCCACATGTCAGAAAGACTGTTTTTAAAGTAAGATGATATATAATGAAAAATGTAACCTCCTGTAAAATATCACACAAATGACAGGAATGTAAGAGAATGAGCAAAAACTTTCAAGTATCTCCTTAACTCTATAACCCATATAAACATACTTTTGCTTCCCCAAAAATCCCCTCTCCCTTTTTTAAGATGTTACAGAAATGATAACAGTATAAGATTACTGTTTTAAAATTAAAATCTTTTGAAAATTTTTCAAAAAGAAATCATAAAAATTTAACAAAGATAATGTTTATCTGTTGAATTTTATATACATATAATAAAATAAAAGAAGAATGATAAATATAAATTTTCCATGCTTTTCAACTTTGGGTATTCACTATTACAGTTGATGAGGTTACATTGGAATATTAATAATAAAAATTTATAGCAATATTTTATCACTTCCTCAATGATGTGGTACAAAACATATTTCATTCCATGGAAGTGAAAATAAACATCAGCTAATCTTTCAAGGAGAGCATAAAATGTCTTATCTTCAGTTCTGTAAAAAGACTACCTTGCTTCAAATTCTGCTCTGATTTCCCAAAATGAAATGGAGTAGAATGTCATTGTTTATGCCAGGGCTATATACTTGTAATCAAGTGTTAAGTATAAAAAAGTCTATCTAAGTATAACAGTTTTTACCACATTATACCAGATAAATTATTAAACTCTATTTTAGTTTGCGTATGTAGAAGAATACGAAAAGATTCCTTTCCCCCTTTATTTACGCACTAACATTTTATTAATGTGCATTTTTCTTTATTGTACAATTTTGCCAAGCCTATTTTTATTCTGTATAAATTTTCAAAATTGTTAAAAATATGTTTTTCAGATAGTAACACTTGTAATCTAAAAAAAAACCTAAAAGGGTACAAGAAATTCAGAATTACTTCTTGAAGACCTTTCAATATAAAATTCCTCTGTATTTTGCTGTGAAGTAATACAGATTGCTGATATTATATCAAAGATTGTCTTACCTCTTTCTGAATGTGAAAGAAACTGTTTAAAAACTTTAACTTTTTTGGAAAGGAGAACAGAATGCAAGTTTTGATATCAACTGTTATTTTAATTCCAAAGTGAATCAAATTTTGAATTATAATTTTTTTTAATTGCAGGCTTTCTAAAAGAAGTTGCATTTGCTGCTCCAGATCTTCTTTTAAATGAACTGGAATCTAAAAAATATATGATGGAAGCAGGAGATCTCTGTGATAACCTTACTGAGCATATTAGAAGTTTAAATGTGACAGGTGTTTAAATTGCTAAAATCCCAATATTTTATGTAAAAATTTCTAGATAAATTTTTTTTCATTTATTTAAATCTTTTGTTTTTACTTAATCTGAACATGGTACAAAAACATTAGATATTTAAATTAAAATTATATACATAAGGTTTGTTATGTTATGTATATTGCAAGAAGTTTCCATTGCTTTTCATGATATTTAAGTTAGATAGAATGTTTGATTTATTTATTGCAACAAACTTTACGGTTATACATGAAAACAAACATCAATCCGATCTTGTGTATAGCTTTTGTGGAAGAAACGATAGCAATTTACTGTGGCTAACAGATTGATGATGGTAAAGCTGGAAAAAAAAATAATTACTCCAAATGTTGAAGCAAACACTAAGTCATTTTAGAATATGAATATGAAAGTGCCGTAGATGGAGAACTCTGGTCAATGAAAACCATTGTACATGCCACGTAGGAGGTGCCCTAGTGGCGTAGTTGTGCCGTCTGGTGCAGAAATTTCCTGTTGGTTGAGAGTAGGTATTTAACATGTATACTGCTAAAAAAAAAAGGGGGGGGACAGTGCTACATCTCTCGTTCTACTGGGCTGATTGACAAAATTCAAATTGCGTTTTTCATGTCTCGAAAGCGCGACTTAGGATATATATTAGATTTATATATAGCACTATTCTAACATAGGTATTTTGACACAAAATCAGACTTTTTCTGAAATAACATACCAATTTTTTTTCCATATTTCGATTCTACGGCTCAAATTATGCCACAATGCCAAGTTTTGTAAAAATCGTACAAGTAGTTCTTAAAATATCAGCTCTCACATTTCGAAATTTAGGTTCGTTCCAAATAAAATTTACCCATTTTTTTGTGTTTTATTTTTTAAATTTCTATTTTTAAATAATTTTTATAAATTTTTCGAAAAAATTTTGAATTATAACCTATAAAATTTTTACCATCATCTTAAAGTAGGTGTATTTCTAAGCATACCTGCAAAAAATTAGACTTTTTTATTCAAAATTTTCTAAGATATACACGAATTTACATATTTTCGCGTTTTGAAATTTGGCATCTTTTTTTGAGCGATAATAACGCCAAATGTGGTTTATGGATTTTTGTTACAGTGAATTGCCACAGCTATTTTTAACCTTAAATTTCAAATAAAATTTTACGGAGAATTAATTATATGAAATTTTTCCCTCCATGATGCGTAATAAATGTTTATTAATACTATATGAAAAGCTATTTTTTTTTTTAAAATTATAGATGATATTATTCAAATTTTTAACTATTTTTTTAAATTTCTCTCTTTCTTCCTTTTTAAAAAAAAATATTTGTAAGAGTAAATTTTTATCTTCGGCGTTTTATCGTCTGCTACTTTACTTTAACTTCGTTTAAATCGAATTGTCTAAAACTGAGAATTTTCGTTTGATGTTATTTGAATTTTATGAAAATATTTTATGACATTAACTGCATAATTTATTTCTAAACAAGCTGTTGCTTATGAAGTGGCTGATACTATCATCCACATTTTTAAAGCACAGTATATTTTTATAGAAACATAAGATTTAGAATAATATCATTTTTATAAAAGTCAAAATTATGATATAAACATACAACCCTCTAAAGACCGAATTAATGGAAGTTCAATGGTTATGTAAAAATGATCTGCAGCTACTTAATGGCTGGATAAGTCAGCAGGTTCTGTGGACAAGTAAGAATAATTATATAAAGGACACCCAACATTCTGGATTCAATTAACAACGAGAGTACGATGTTTATTGAATGAATTTAACCTATTTAAGCTATTAAGTTTTTAAACATAAAAAATCAACTAATTTTTTATACTAAAATGTATTTTCATTATATCCTTAAAATTCTAATTTAGAATGTAATTGTCAAGAACTGAATTCTAATCATCAGTAATATAATAACTAATTATTACGGTTATTAATAAATCCTTCTAATAAAGTAATTGCAAATTTTTCAAAAAGCTTTCTGTCTGAATGCAAATATTTCTAATTTTATATTAATCAAGATTGCACGCGATATTATTTATTTGCACTTCAATTCTTACCGTCAGCTCAATTATTGGCGCCGCGTCTTTCATGTTACTCCCGATTGGCAAGCTACATGATTTTTAATGAGTATTCGGGTTTTGCTAGTAACTTCACTTGGAAATCGCGCTTAAACTAGGTTAGTTGGTTATTTGAACATAGAAAGAACATGGGAGCTATTTGGTTAAGATGCTTTCATAGAGAACCTTTGTAAAGAGAACCTAGAAAACTACGAAAACCAACCATGCAGCCTGGGTTAGACTTCGCAACAAACAATTAGTATTTAACAATCTTCAAATGCTAGGCAACTGGTGAGGCTCCAATTTAATATTTCATTTGTAAATATTTAAAATATTGTTGTATTATTAGACACAAAAAGCTGAATTTAAGTTTTGTTAACTCTTGGTAAACTACCAAGCCGTAGTGCAAATGAATATTCAATTTCTTTTGCAATAATTGTATTCACTTAATATTCTTGGAATATGAGCTAAAGAAGGAATGTTCTCGGAAGATTAAAGAAGTGTTTTTAAATCCATGGTATTAGGTTTGTCTTACAAGCTCAGGTATCAAAACGATTCTGCAATTGCCCGAGTAGTTGACTTGTAAATGGCTGTGAATTAAGCAGATGACTTTTAATCTTACGTTATTCAGTCAGAAAACGTATTCCAAATGTTTTGTATTGCATGACAATGCATCTTTTCATTATTCAATAACCAATCGGAGAACCGCTTGTGTTCCGAAAATAAGTATGTGTACTCAATCGTCCTGCATGTTCTTCAAATTTGTCTTCTTGTGATTTTTTTCTTTCCCCAAAAACTAAAGTTGCCTCTCAAAGGAAAGTTTTTGACATTGAAGAGACAAAAGGAGTATGACATCTACTTTTAGAGACATGTCAAAAACAGATCTCTGCAGGCCTTCTCTTCCATTACATGTTGTGCATTCAGACAAAAAGTTGCATTCAGTGTAAATTCTATAATCTATTTTTATTACACTCTGATTACTTTATTAACATACAGTGAATATATACTGTTGCGTGCGTACGGGTTCGTTACGAAATGAATGCACAATTCCGATGAAAAATGGACAAAATTTATTATATACACAACAAATATGCTTAAATTTCTTCAGATATTCGTCCAGTATTACAATAGCTCACAGTAGTTATCTTTTAACTACTCAATTCTAAACAGCTAGAGAAAGCTAATCCGCGAATTCGCTACAGTCAACAAGAGCAGTTTTCTAAACAAACTCTTAAAACAACAACAAACTAACTGAATTGAGAGGATTTCCTCCTTTTCATAAGATTTTAAATCGCACGCGAGAATTTTCTGGAATTTTCTCGAAATGATATATTTATTTATTAAATGTTAAATGCACGTGCTCTTGTATTTTTAATTTTCCGGCTTAGCTTTCCTTTAATATTTGTCACGCGCTGCTTTGCACAGGGATAAAAACAATTTAATTTATAATTCAACTAACATTAGCTATTTAAATACAAAATCCGTAACAATACTAAACTTTTTACTTCAGCTTCAGTAATTCGGAATTGTTGTCGGAACTAGGACTTAGAAGATAAGTCAAATTAAATATTTCGATAATCCAATAAATTCAAGGTCGAAGTTTCAATATTTTATTTTCGGAGGAAGGGGAAATTTTTTTCAGTTTTGGCCCATTATCCTAAGTATATTTGCTTCGATTCTTTATTTTTTCCATAAAAGCGAAAATCCTACGCATGGTATACATATAACGCATAGCTTCAAATTAAACTTTAATAATATACAGGGTGGTTATAATTAAAGGATCAAATGTTATCAAACTTGGTAACCGTGTAAAGGAGGTCATGGGAATTTATTTTCCGCGAAAAAAAGGAAGTTCGAAACCTCACCACCAGGGGGAAAATGGCGCTGTATGCAATATTGTTAAACGAAATATGGGTCGGAATCTAATTTAACCTTTTGTTACACGGATTTAATAGTATGTTGTATACCCTTAAGTAAGCAAGCAAATTACCATTTAAAGGCGTTAAATTCGATAAAAGTCGAGTGCGCCATCCGTGTAAGTGAGAAATTCGTCCGTGGAAACCACGAATTAGCGATTAGAAAGTGTGAGATCGCAAATCACTCGCACAAGTGCGTACAATCTGGAAATCGTTTTCTTACAGATCGCTAATTTGTAATTTTTGAAGCCTGAATTCGGCTTCTAAAACATGAAGATACTGATTCAAAACGCTTTTAATCGATTTGGGCTAAAGAAATCCCTCATGTTATCTACTCCTACTTCATTCGATTGCATAGTAGTCATTCCACACCAAACGGTGTGGAATGACAGCTAGTTTCGTAACTGAACAATTTTTCTCTGAATAGCAGTCGACAGCTGGACTACTGTGATTGCAGCTCGCTTAGAGTCAATGTTAAAATGTTTCGTGATACATAAACTGCAGTAACGTGGCATTTTAGATACTACGATTTTATGCACGGCTGGACCCCACCTCACATGTGTCGCACAGTTACTTAGGCAACATTTCACGAATGAACGTCTTATAAGCCGACACTTCCCCTCTTCCCACCAGACCTCAACCTCTGTGACTTTTGGCTATGGGGTTATCTCAAAAGCACTGTTTATGGTGATAATCTAAACAATTTGGCAGAAATGAAAAATGTGATACACCGACATGTCCGTAACATTCCTCCTGATATGCTAAGAGCTGCTGTTGAGAATGCAGTAACAGGATTTAACTTGCTTTCGGAAAATGCTGGACGCTACATTGAACATGCTTTGTAACACGTTTCGGAAACGATTAAACACATTTTAAACCGATGTTTTCATGTCTTATTTCATTTAACAATATTGCATACAGCGCCATTTTCCCCCTGGTGGTGAGTTTTTGAACTTTTTTCCCCCCACCCCCGCGGAAAATAAATTCCTTTACACGATTCCCAAGTGTGATAACATTTGGTCCGGTAGTTTTCCTTTTATAACCATTTTAAAGTGGAACTTTAGTTACGTATAAC